GGAGAGAGAGAGAGAGAGAGAGAGAGAGAGAGAGAGAGAGAGAGAGAGAGAGAGAGAGAGAGAGAGAGAAGGGGGAGGAGTAGATCTTGCGAGAACTTCCGGGCAATCGGGCAAAACAAAATGGCGACCCATGTAGTTCGACTCGATTCGAAAAGTGAAATAGCCATAGCATCTTTGTAGACGATCGAATTAGCTTACTTTTGTGCTATAACGTCATTTTTTTTCTTTGTTTTTGTCAATTTGATCATCCACACCGATAGAAAGTATTCCGAAATTAGGAAAAACAGGTCTTGTTTCACACCGGCTGAGAATAGCCAACGCTGGCAACAGCCAACGCTGACAAGTCTCACCCGGGGTGAGATGTCGATCGCAGTGTTTTTATTCTCACTCCGGGTGAGGGTAGCCACTTCCTTACTTAAATGATTAGGTGATTAAACATGATCTCTTATTGACAATATAAAAGTCAATTTAAGCTTCATTTCGTTAGAACATGTGTATAGTATAGTATAAGGTTTTACGGCGCTCGCAACTGCTAAGGTCATATGAGCGCTTAGAACATGTGTTAGTTTTGCAAACTTCTTAGACTTTGTGTTAAACAACACTTTTAACAAAACGAATCCTTACAAGCCTAGGCTTGGCCTTTTTAATCTCGAAGGTTTAAAAGTAGAAGTAGAAGAGTCTACTACTAGAGTCTAGAGTCTAGTCCATTAACATTTATTTAATCTCTTGAATGTACTGGATAACAGAAATCTGCAACCTGTCACTAGATTACAACTCTAGATCTAGATCGAGATTCGAGATTTGAGTAAAGGCAGAGTCCAGGTAAAAACTTCAACAAATTCTCGTGGTGATGAGTAAATAGAGATCAAAACAATCTCAATAATAATATATCGCACGACTATCACGGCACATCACTTCACCTATACATGTTCCGGTAACTACCTATAAATAGATGGAAGTTTGACCCGTGTCAAAGGTTGGGATGAGGCTGACGATTCGGGATGTGGCTGCGGGTTGACGAAAGGGAAAAGCGCATAGGCGCGAACCCACTACATGTATAAATACGTTTCTTTCATTTCGCACAATTTTGCCAAGCCTGATTTTTTAATGATAAGTTTGGAGTGACCATATCTCTTAACATAGATGAACTATTTATTGTGTCAGATGATGTAGAATTAATTTATTTAGCTCTAAATTGGTATGCTGCGTGAGTGGGCAGTGCCAAGGCTATAACACGGTGATTGCGTCATTACATTTTCTAGTATTAACACAGATCTAAACTCCATGAAGAATTTGGAAAATCCACTAAGTGTCAGGGGGAAATGCCAGTTTTCTATTTTTTGAAGAAGTTGTTGTGAGCACTAATTTAAATGCACGAAAGTGTTGTGACTTTACTTTTTTATAGTACTTAGTATTACTCACGCGAAAGAAAAAGCGTGAAGACTCAAAAGACAAGATTCTTTACACTATCAAAACGTTGTTCTTTTTTTAGGGGGTGGGGTGGTGGCCAGCATATAGATCTGTTATTATCAAGCGTGCATTACACACAGCAGATAACATATATTTTCTACGCTTAGGACGTACCTGACCCTAAAGGGAAATGATACTTATTGATTTGTTATTACCACAATGTTCGTTGTTCCCGTTTATAATTTTGGAGGTTTCCATAGAGGTTTCACAACTCTTTTATTCATTCACATAATATATTTATCAATTGATATCATTATACAGAGTGTAATTAAAAATAAAAGCATGAAATTTTAAATTATAATTTTTCTGTTTCCAGGCCCAAGTAATAATGCTGAGCTTTATGAGGTACAGTTTCTTTTTTTTTTCATGTTGTTATAATCTATATGATTTACACCTCTTTTTTCTTGTCATCACCTGCAACAAATCATTTGAAACTAGCTCATAGTCTGGCAAGTGAGTGTACCACAAGCAATAATCACCCCATGTCTCTGTCAACTTAAAAAGGTACCCTTTCCCTTCTGCCCAGGGATTTTATTGTTGTAAAGTTTTCTGGGCACGGAAACTTTGCCTTCACAAGAGCAAAGACTGGTACATTGTTATAATCTATAATGAAAGTCAGACCTCATTTCTTTGCTTGTTATAATGCTTATAATTATTTTACTCTTCTACTTTGGAAGGTTTTAGTAAATGCTCGTTCCAAATGAGGGGCCTTTTTTATCTTTTTAAAATTTCTTTGGAAATATTTATGTAGCCTTAAGTCGTTTGCGATTTTGAAAAGAAAATTGTTTTTAAGTTTGTTTAAGTCTAAAGCTTTTAAACTTGTAAAAATGCACCTCTTCCATAGAAAAGAAAAAAAATATGGTTCGTTTTTCTTTCTTTTTTTTTACGCATAAGGATTGAGATTATATTTTGCTGGTAATCAAGAAACAAGTAATTCTTTAAAATTAGCTTTTTACTGACATTTGTTTTATTTAATATATGTGATAATAGACATATTATAATTACTGGTGTTCCTTTTCCTAGATTTAAAATCCCAGTCTTTTAATTTCAGGGATGAGGGCAGTATTCAGATAGTCGTATTTTTAGAAAACATGAATATATACCTGTGCTGTACTTATGTTACACAGTTCAGAATAGTCTAGGTTGAAATGACAGTGAATTTTTCAACTGTACTGAAAGTGATTAAGGCACCCGGTTATATTTTTCAGGAGGTTAAATTGTACAGAACTGCAAGAGAGAGAGAAAAGTAAGTATGTTGCAAGCAATTCAAGTTTAATTATAATAAATTCCTAAAGTTTCATACATTCCGTAAAAAACACATGTCTTCTTGCCCATTCATGAGGGTTCTATTCAACTGGCATCATTTTTGCTGAACCAATTGCAAGTTAGATTTTCAGTTCAAAAGTACAATTCCTGGTTGAAAGTGTGACCCAACAACTAAAGTAATAGTACTAAGAGATCAGGTCATATTGTGTAGCCAGTCATGTACATGCACAGACAGTTGCTCATGTGCCGGATCTTTTTTTATTCAGGGTATCAAAATGTTCTCAGGCTGCTTCAGAAAACAGCTGGTATTTTTTAGTGATTTATCCTTTTTTTTCAGTTTCAAGTGTAACAGTTTCTTTAAAATTTTAGCCTATATCTTCTCAATGAAAGTTCCCTTTATTGACGTCACAGGTACGACAACATGGCAGACCTGTATGCAGTCATCAATACACTACAGGGCCTTGAAAAAGCCAACATTAGAGACGACGTCTTACCAAAAGAGTAGGTAAATTCGGATGCTCCGAGTTTGGTTATAAATTGCATCTTATTTCTCTATTTTATTTAAACAATGATAGCTTGACACATGCTCAAAATTAAGTTAATTCTAAAGGCTTACCTCTGTGGCTGCTTTTCCGTACTCAGAAAAGTCTGACAAATGCATCCTGTCTGGATTAATTAGATTTTTTAGAGATCAGCTGCTCGGACAGTGGACAAAAAATTGTTTTCTTTGTCAAAAGTACAGTACTGGTGAATTTGATGTAATTGTCCGTCGTGTGCTTAAAAAAACCAACACGTGTGTGATTGCCACAACAGGAAGATCTTTTGATGAATATACATCTTTCTACTTAGATGGAGTCTTAAGAAAAAGGATCAAAATAGCCTGCCTCTTAATTTGTATATTTTTTGTTGAATATTTACAGTCAATCTTTATTGTTTACAATTTATTTATCGACAAAACAATGATAATCATATGTATGGATTAACCGGCTATTCTGACGGTGCTTGCCAATTATTCGTGCTACTTGTAAGAGTGTGGGTTGATTGCAAGTTTAAAATTTTGATTTTGTAAAGAACTAGGATGGATCATGAATATTTTGACAAGTGTGTAATCATTGTTCTTATTAACACAGTATGCAGGTTTTCTTGTAAGTCTATAGCTATACTAGTAAGCTAGGGTTAGGTAAGGTGTACAGGTCTAAAGACATTAGAAGAGTTTTCACAGCCACTCCAGTTTCATCTTTATAAAATGATGTTGCGTTTCATCGCTGTTTTCCTTCACTGCTCTCTGTCAGGTATACAGCCACCTGTTCAAAATTACTCGTGCAGTACAAGGCAGCTTTTAAACAAGTACAGAGTGATTTCCCTACTCTGGAGGATTTCATGAAAAAGTACAGAGTAAGTGAACTCATCCTGGAACACTATGGATTCTGCCTTTGATTTAACCCTATCCGTACGCCTGGGCGCCCCTGCAGGTGGGGAAAGGGGGGGGGGGGCATGGTTTTTTCTATGGGGGAGCAAAGAATACACCTGCCGTGATACTGGGGTCGTAAAAGGCGACTAAAGGTGCAAAGGTCTGGTCGCCCGAAAAGTGCCAGTTTGCGGAGGGCCAACTACCCGACCCAGTAAAAAACAATCAGTTACAGAAAAACGGACAAACACGGCTTTTTTCGATCTTGAGAGACGGAGGAGCTTCTGCATCTGCAGGAACAATGAAAGACAGGGGACAAAGCCGAAAGGACACTCTTCAGACCCGAAACCTTCTCTGTCGAACAAGTCTCTCCGGATTGCGTCGTGGAATGTTGGCACCTTGTATGCAGCAGGAATGAGTTCTCAAGTAGTACAAGAGATGAAAAGATACAGGCTGAACAAACTAGGAGTCAGCGGAACACACTGGATACAGCCTGGACAGAAGCAGCTCAGCTCGGGGGAACAAGTACATGCATTGTGTTCTGGGAGGGAAGACAGGCACCATGCGGAAGGAGTGGGAATCATTTTGAGTAAGTAAGCACAGGAGTCACTTGGAGGATGGGTACCGCACGGGGAGAGGATCACCATGGCTTCATTCTCTACAAGGAGCAAGAGTATCAACTCGAATATAGTCCATATCTACACCTCAACAAATGATGCTTCGGATGAAGACAAGGATGCCTTTTACAGCCAGCTCCAGGGTGTCATCGACAAACTACCAAGGAAGGATGCCAACATCGAAATGGGAGATGCCAATGCCAATATTGGTCAGGACAACGTGGGGTATGAAGGAATTATGAGACAACATGGCTTTGGACAAATGAATGAGAACGGTGAGTGATTCACAAATATATGAGCTTTCAACAGTTTCGTCATTGGAGGCTCTGTTTTTCCTCACAAGAGGATTCACAGGGCTACATGGGTTTCGCCAGATGGCGTGACGGAGAACCAGATAGATCATTTTTGTATCTCTCGTAGGTTCAGGCGTTCACTGGAAAATGTCAAAGTACAGAGAGGGGGCAAATGTTGGATCAGATCATCATATGCTGTTTGTTGGCAAAACTCAAGCTTCGACTAAAAAAGCACGGAACCTACGCTGGAATCAAAAGAACGAAGTTCCAAGTAAGTATTTTGGACGAGCACAATATACTCTGGCTGATCTTGGTGGAGAGGACACGGAGGTGGATACACACTGGACCAAGGTCAAAGAAGTCTTTACATCAACATGTCAAGAAATGGGAGCACAAGGAGTGGATTAGCCAACACTCATTGGATTTAGGGGGGCTACACACCCAAAGTAAAAATTCGGCTCAAAATCATGGAATTTGAGTTGTAGGCATTTTTTGCTTCTTCAGCCTTTCCTACAACTATTTCATCGCATAAGAACCCCCCACAAGACCGTATTGTTTTCCCATACCGGGCATGTTTGTAACCGCCATTTCCTCATAAAGTCAGTATTTTATTTTTCTTTATCGGCTGTTTTCTCAAAACGCGACTTTTCTCTATACTTTTTTGAAAAACTCCACCATTCTTCGTCCTATCTTCATGAAATTTTCACAGAAAGACGAAAAGAAGTAATACTAAAAATTTGTTATTTGAATTTTTGATATATGGAATACATTTTTGTTGGTGGTGTCTGGAGTGTGGATTTTCAAGGATTTTCCGCAAATTTGAATGTTACCTCAGGAAAAAAATCATTAAAAATTTTCTAATTCGTTAAGGTTTTAGATTTAATGTTTGTAAACACGCATGCAAAAAATCAATCAATTTCCATGAGCGACAAGTGCGGTATTCATTACGTAAGACATGTCAACAAAATCCAATATGGCCGCTGTATCCATGGAAACGACATTTTTTTCGTAAAGTTGATTGAGGATTTTAAGACCCCTTACTCTGATTGTTATATGTGTGAAATTTGGTAAAATTCGGTCCAGTATTAAGCGAGATAGCCTTCAGGTGTAGCCCCCCCCCCCCCCCCCTTAACTAGGATAAGAAGACAACAGAAGGCAGAAGCGAATGCAAGTAGAACAAGATGATCAAGAGCTGATGCATTGGAGTGTAGAGGACAACAGCTAAGGATGTCAAGAAGTCACTAAGAAAAGACAAGGAGAAATTCACGAACAGGCTGGCAGAGAAGGCAGAAGGAGAAGCAGTAGGAGGGCACATGCGAATCCTTTACCAGACCACAAAGACTCTTGCTGGAAAATACGGGAAACCCGAAGTACCAGCAGGTACCAGTAAAGGCTCAAGAGGGGAAAACCATTTTTGGAAAGGAAGTTCAGTTGAAACGATGGGTAGAGCATTTCAACAGTCTCCTGAACAGACCACCACCTGCCAAACATCCTGCCAGCAAGAAATGAGTTACCCTAACATCTGCGTTTGTTGCCATTTTTTTGGTCAAAAAGTTGCCAGAAGTTGCCACAAAAATGGCAAAAGTTGCCATAAAAGTTGCCATTAATTTTCAAGCTTTCATCTCTCTTTAACGACGTATATAGCAGTTTGTATATAGGTAACTTAATCTAAGGCACCACAATTTCCTGTGAAGAATCCAGAATATCATTTATAGCCACACAGAGTGTAAAACGTGACAAATAAAGGTTTCACAACAGAATCAAATCAAAATTAGAACAGCACATACACAACCACAGAAATTAACAAATAACTGCGTGTGTATATATATAAAGGTAGGAACAACATCAAATTAAATGACATTACGCTATATAAAAACCAAAAATAGTAAAACAACACATCAGAACAATAACAATTTTACAAAATTAACATACCAACAAATTAAAACACAAAAAAAGAAGAAAAAATAAAAGAGAAACAGCAATAGAAATAGTATTAATGTACTTATATTCTTCAAGTATAAAATAACAAATCAACGTGGTGTCAACAAGTGAGAAAGAGACAAAGTGAAGCTGAAGTGAAAATAAACTTTCTTTCTAAAAGTAAAGAGGTTCGGTTTCTTTTCCTTTTTAAAAAAAATATTTCTATTCCCCAGCAGTGTTTTTTTTTTTTTTAATTTTTAAATGCAAAAATCGCGACCGCGATATGCCAAAAACCCGCGATTCGGCCGCGACAAACGCAGATGCTAGGTTACCAATCTGCTGTGGTGCTCCTTCAAAACAGCCTTTAAGAAGCTGAACAAAGGTAAAGCGGCCGGTCCTGATCAGGTTCCACCCGAAGCCCTAAAAGCAGATGCCAATGTGACGGTAGACCTCCTCTTCCCACTGGAATGAGAGCAAGTTCCCAAAGGATTGGAAAGAAGGACACCTCGTGAAGCTTCCAAAAAAGGGGGGATCTCAGCAACTGCAGCAACAACAGAGGGATCACTCTTCTCTCAATACCAAGTAATGTCTTCAGCAGAGTTATTCTGGAGAGAATCAAGACAGCAACGGGATGAACAGGCTGGTTTCCAGAAAAATCGCTCAACCACCGACCAGATTGCCACGCCGAGGATTATTGTGGAACAGTCCCTGGAGTGGAACTCCCAACTGATCGTCAACTTCCTTGACTATGAGAAGGCATTTGACAGTGTAGATCGAGCAACACTATGGAAGATAATGAGACACCACGGAATCCCACAGAAGTTGGTGAACCTCATCAAGAGCGTGTTCGAAGGGACAAGTTGCAGGGTTGTCCCTGAGGACCAGTTCACTGACAGCTTTGATGTTAAGACTGGTGTGAGACAGGGATGTTTACTATCACCGTTCCTCTTCATATTGGCAGTCGACTGGCTGAAGAAGGGAACCACCAGAGGACACAGAAATGGTATACAGTGGACACCATAGACACAGTTGAACGATCTGGATATTGCAGACTTGGCGCTTCTGTCGCACACTCAGAAACGGGTACAAGCAAAGACTTCAGTTTCAAACAGCCTATCGAAGTCTGTTGGATTGAGGATCCACCCCGGAAAGTCAAAGGTTTTAAGGACATATGCACAACGAAACGAGCAGGTCACAATAGAAAGAAATGCACTAGAAGACGTTGAATCCTTCTGCTCTCTTGGAAGTATAATTGACAGAGAGGGAGGAACAGATGCTGAAATAAAGTCCCACATTGGAAAAGCACAGACTGCTTTCATAATCTTTGGATAGGATTTGAAAGACCAGAGATATCTCACTTCGAACAAAGCTGAGCATTTTCAATTCAAATGTGAAATCATTCCTGTTGTATGAATGTAAGTGAGACATGGAATGCATCACAGACTTGCATAAAGAGGATCCAGGTTTTTTTTAACTAGTGTCTAAGAAAGTTACTGAGGATCAGATGGACAGACAGGACAACGAGGAAGTGTTAAGGAAAACAAGACAGATCCCAGTCAGAGATGAGGTATGAAAAAGGCAGTGACGATGGATTGGACACATTCTCAGGAAGTCAGGCATCTGCATAACAAAGAAAGTTTTGGGATTGGAATCCACAGAGCAAGAGGTCAGGGGGAAGACCGCGTGGAACATGGGGAAGAAGCACAAAAACCGATGTACAGAAAAGTGGGAAGACATGAAATAACATCAAGAGGCTAGCCCAGGATAGAGAAAAGTGGAAAATGTTTGTCCGTGGCCTATACTCTGGTGCAGGGTGAGAAAGGCAATGATGTTGATGTACGCGTGGGGTCATTTTGTACCCCAGGGGTTGTATTCTTCACATTTTAGAATATTTCTAGTTCAAAGATCTCTTTGAAAGTTTCAGTATTTCTCAAAAAATCATTTTGATAGACTGCTAAGCAAAGCGTACTGATCGGATTAACGAGTCAATTTCCTCTTTGGAAAATGGGGGCACAGAGTTCCCAACGTCGTATGGATACGATAGTTAAACTCGACGTACGGATAGGGTTAAGCGGTAGGTAGCAATAGACATGACTGCTCTTCATTGTATAAGCAACTTTCCCAATACGAGCCAAGAAAAAAGTGGATTTTCCCCATTTTTCGTTCTTTTTTAAACGGGGTTACTTTCCCAACCTTTTATATTATTGTGGCTTCTCCGTGTAATGGAATGTTTTGGTTATTTTTGTTTTAGTAAAGTTTTACGGCACTCTCAACTGCATAAGGTCATATGAGCGCCAAGGGGTGGATGTCAACAGAGAAGCCCAAACGGGGAATCGGGCTAACTCTACTCACCTCCCTAGCTCCAACAGCACAAAGTTTGCTTCAAATATCAAGGCACCCCGGAAATAGCAGTTTACAAGAGAGTGTGACAAACATACAAAAGAAGTAGAGTAAAAAGAAGATAGTAAGGATGGGGAAAGAAAAAGTAGCAGTTCCCCCTATGTTGTTCCGGCACAGTATGAGCATGACATTGTTAATCAGCCCGTTTACAATTTTACTGTGCATTGGAACATGTTAATACCCCCCCTTTGGGAATGGCCTAAAAACAACTTCAGTCTGTAGCCCTGCCCTGGTGGGGGTGTTGGAATGAAGGCAGAGGGCACTTTCAACTTAACCATTAACCACTTGTGTAAGTTGTACCAGTGTTGCCTCTCAGTAGAGCTGGAGTCTGCTCGATTAATCGAAGGCTTGCGTGCAGCGAACAGCTTGCGCCAGAGGCTTGCGAGCAGGCTTCTGCTTTGCTTTGCCTCCCTCTCGCTAACGGGGGGAACTTCCGGTGAGTTGTGACTCGCGGACAGTCTTGGTGTACTGTGTCGTTATCGCGAACTCTCGTGGCTGTGGGCTTAGTACATATTACGTAGTACATATTACAGAAAATTCTGGTTATTTGCGTTGAGAGGCTCGCACCAAAAGTGCAAGGTGGGTTTTTTTTCCATAGTCTGGTTGTAAAAAAGAAAAAGCTCTGTTCAATGCACTTAAAATTAATAATGGACCGGCTATTCTTACGATGCAAAGGCCGGTATTTTTTTATATGCACGGGCCAAGCGCTTTGTCGTTGCACGCAAAAGACCTCAGTTCGATTCCCTTATGGGGATAATTTTTTTTACTGAGAACCCCCGTCTTTCTGCTGGGGCGTTGTTCCCTCTCAGCCCAGGTTGACCCTGACATTGGGTTGAAGTAGGCCTAGCCCGTCTGCTAAAAGTTCTGTATTCTGTAATTGAGAGTGTAAAACATCTACAAAATACGATACAAAAGCCAATCCCAACGACCCCCGGAGTTTTCCATTCGAAGGTAATCTAAGTCTACTAATTACTACCAGAAACCTGCTAGGTTTCTGTTACTACAATACCATGCTTCCTCTCACTTCATCCACTCGCTCAGCTGATCAACGGCGGGAAGTTAAAAATAGCTTCGGCTCTCTACGCCTTGCACCAAAACATGCACAGCCTCTCCATTCCTCCACGGTTAGGAGTTCACACTGCGAGCGGTCTTCCTGCTCGCTTCTGCAGCAAGTGGCTTGCCAGGTTGGGACCCAAAGCAAGTCATGGGAGTCAAAGCAAATCATGGGGCACAGGAGACTTGCCGGGCTGCGAGCAAGTCATGGGGCACAAAGCAAGTCATGGGACTCAAAGCAAGTCATGGGACTTGCTGTGCTGCGAGCGAGACTTGAGACTTGACGGCCGTCCGCTGATCGCAAGCCTTCGATTTATCGAGCAGACTCCAGCTCTACCGCGCAGTGACACTGTGAGCGGGCTCTCTCTCTCTCTCTCTCTCTCTCTCTCTCTCTCTCTCTCTCTCTCTCTCTTTCTCTCTCTCTCTCTCTCTCTCTCTCTCTCTCTCTCTCTCTCTCTCTCTCTCTCCCCCCCAATCTCTCTTTTTCTGACGTAAGTGGCTTCGCGGATTGCAAGCAGGGTGGGGAAGATGAGGGGGTCTGACACGAGTGGCTTCGCGGATTGCTAGTTGGTGTGGACTTGAAGCTTAGGCTTAGAAGCAATAATATAAGCTATAAATAGTTCTATTTATAACCTCTTTGGGCTAGACTCAACTTATCATGCTGGTGATTTTATTTAATGATTTGACCTGGTGATTTGAGGCTTGTGACTTGAACTAGGGGCTTGCGAGCACGAGAGGGTTTGCTATCGGGGTACAGATCTACCTCTCAGTCACCCAAAGTTACCACAGTGAACTAACAAAAAGTAACATCACATGGGGCTGGGAATAAAGATTTCATTCCGAACACTGTGACAGTGGACCGAAGTGGTGGGATACTCGTCGTACATAATTTGCTCTCTGTTTGAATAAAAATCTGGCTATAGCTGCAGTGAATCTACGCGTTTTATACAAGAACAAGTCATTGTGTTACTCTTATTAGCTGATCTAGGCTGCAACACCAAGTGTTCTTTAGACTCACCATTTTTTTATGAATTTACTACGTGTATCCAGATGGGTTAGATACGTGTGTTTGGAAGATGCTCAGATCCTTCACTTATTTATCAATGTGGATCAGTACAAATATTTTTGATTACTTTTATTTAAAATACTATTTGAGAAATAACTTCATATACTTCCATTCTTGCAGGAAAAAGTTATACACCCTCACTCTCTTTTGGTGGGACAAGAAGGAACATGTGCTAATAGTTGACCGTTTTCTCATTTTATAGCTGGACTGCCCTGCTGCCCTTGAAAGAATTAAAGAGGGGCGACCGATTTCTGTGCCCAGACTCTTCGAGGGTGAGGAAAACCCAAGCAAGTGCATTGCAGACATTGTCTCTGTGAGTGCTTTTATCACAGTGATGTACATGTATTATGTTGTACAATGCTATCATTTCTTCTACCGTAGGTGTCCTTTAGGCGTTCAGGTAGATTCTTTTACCCGTCGTATGTCAGTCTTGTGGTCAATTTGTTCATCGTAGGACTGGTGGATGTGAGGTGAATGCAGTTTATATTTAGACATATGGCTCGTTTTAACCCACCTTTCAGTCCTTTCAGGGCCAATGTGTATTGTAGACTATGCACCCACCATTAAAACCAACTACAATGGCTAAAGATGATTACTTTGATGGTCTGTCAGCTTTTTGTTTTCTGTGTATCAAAAGTAAAAAAGAAAGAGAAGCATCTAGGTGAAAAACTGGCTGTGGAAAATATATTTGTTTATAGGCTACACTTACCGATACATGTACCAGTATTCATGAAAAACTGAACCTAGCCTTCCCAAAAGATTTCAGCTTTTAAAGAATGAACCAGTGCACAAACTTTCATCTATTGGTGCAACCCCATGGTTGAAAAACAATCAACAATAAATAGGGAGGCAATCAATGCTAATCAGAGACAGACGGCGACGCTTCACTTCGTGTTTCCACTGAATCCTCTTTTTTTGTGCTTGAACGAATTGAACGAATCGGTCTTTAAAAAAAATAAAATTACTCAGCTCATAATACGCAGGCATTTCAGGCATTACATAGTCGGTTTCTATCTTTGACGCCCCCATCCTGGGAATCCTAAACATATAAATATAAACGTTAACTAATTTATTTTTTTAATTTGGACTTAAAATTTGAAATTGCCTATAGAAACTTTAAAGGAATAGCAGATCTAGCACAACGCCCATTATTTTATTATAACAAGTTCGGCCTGCAGGCAAATCTGGTGTCCCTGGATCATGACTCAAGGCTGGTGGGTGCCATAGGACTTTTGGGAGGCTTCTTATTTACATCCTCAAGTCTACCTGATATGCCTTAGGTCTGTTATTGTTCGGTTTGTGGATATAGTTTGAGAGAGAGAGAGAGAGAGAGAGAGAGAGAGAGAGAGAGAGAGAGAGAGAGAGAGAGTGTGTGATAGTGAGATAGTGTTTGCGAAAATGATAGTGAGAAAGAGAGAGGGAGAGAGAGAGAGAGAGAGAGAGAGAGAGAGAGAGAGAGAGAGAGAGAGAGAGTGCAAAGAAAAACATGCTATGGAGGGTCTTTGTTTTATTTTTGTCCTCTAGCTGGTAACTAAAAAGTGACTACAGGCACTGATTAAAGGAATGTACTGTTTTAATTCTGATGTTACATAATAATAGTACAACAGCCATAATGTAATGTACATTATACCACATCCATCTCACACACCAACCACCCACCCCCTCCAAGGTATTGTTCCAATGTTTGATTTGTTTCTTTTTTTTTCACAACACTTGATTTTTTAAAATCCAAATTTAGGGCACAACGATAATATTATTATATCTCACATAGTCACTGAATCACAGCTCAAGACCTTTTTGATGTTCTGATTTCTCTTCTGTATCGGATGACTTAGATGGTCTGCTGTGTCCCCTTAACAGACCAACAGCACATTATGACTACAGTGGAATCCCCATAAACAGAACACAGTTAATACGAAAAGACTAGTAAATCAAAAGAAAATGAAACCCCAATTTTTGTCTTCTATCTGAGCAGCATGCGTTCTCGCAGATTTCTGTTAAAGCGGACTCCATTCATGTGTAAGACTAGGATGTAAAACAAGACTTCAATCTAATTGTTTTTACATTGCAGTGACCGGTTCTTGGCGCGGTCAGTTTGGTGTTATTTTTTTCTTTCTTGTTCTTTACTTTGCAGCTTTTCATCACTGTCATGGACAAACTCAGATTAGAAATCAGAGCAATGGATGAGGTGAGTGTCAAAGATACTTGAACGATGTTTAAACATAATAGTTCTTTTCAGAGTTCTTAATCTAGAAACAGCTAGAGGTTGCAGGGCACCACTGCGTGGTAGTTCCTACTTCTTCATTTTCCCTCTGATGTTTCTGTCTGTCTGTTTTACTTTTTCCCAGCACTAGATAGCCATTATTGTGTTGATATGCTATATCTAACTACTCTTTACTCAAACTCAAACAAACCAAACATAATCTAGAAACTTGCACTCTTTGCTCTTTGACTCCATACCATACAGTGAGCTCAAGAGGTTGACTCCCTTGGTCTCTGAGCAGTCAAACAAGTGTTGTTGGAAAGTCGTCACTAATTGCCCTCACATCCATGATACATGTGGAACTCGGATTCAACGAGCTCGGATTCAACGAGAACTCGGATTCAACAAGATGAGATAGATTCCCCGTTTTATTCTTCTATAAAATCAATGAAAATAACCCGGATTCAACGAGCACTTAAACCAGCGAGCTCGGATTAAACGAGGTCGCTTCCAGGGTGAACAGCCCCTGCAGACGTGGCTTCGCTCATTTTTCTCCCAGAACGAACTTTATCTATTCCCGGAAACCATCCATCGTGAACCATTATTCACTTCGCCGATTGCATGCGACCAATCAGCGGCCTTCTTTCATACTGTGGAACTCGGATTCAACGAGCTTAGATTCAACAAGAACCCGGATTCAACAAGAGGAGATAGATCCCCTGGGGTTTTTTTCCTTCTTTAAAATCAATAAAAATAACCCGGATTCAACGAGCACTTAAACCAGCGAGCTCGGATTAAACGAGGTCGCTTCCAGGGTGAACAGCCCCCCCAAACGAGGCTTCGCTCATTTTTCTCCCAGACCGAACTTTATCTATTCCCGTAAACCATCCATCGTGAACTATTATTCGCTTAGCCGATTGCATTCGACTAATGAGCGGCCTTTTTTCATACCAACACATGCGTTGTTGGCACGCACACGTGTCTACTCTGGCGTGTGTTGGGGTCGGATGGGCGGCCTGCACACGTGTGGCTGTGTGTGCGTGTCGGGGAGGGGAGAGGGGAGGGGCACTAGCGGTCCGGGCGTGGAACGTCCCTGATACAAACGCGTCATAGTCTTTTTCCCCCTCGGCAACTGATCATTGTTTCAATGATAAGCTAGTCTTGACGTAGAACTACGTAATGAATTGTGCGCTGGTCTATGGAATCAAAAGTTGCCGTATACTAGGTTCTACACAGCAACACACCTTTTGGTAAACAATCAAGATGACACAGGCGTGTGCATTTGAACGAATCGGTCTTTAAAAAAAATAAAATTACTCAGCTCATAATACGCAGGCATTTCAGGCATTACTTGCGACTTCTCTTTATACATTACTCGCTCAGTGCCTTTAATTATCTACACAAAACCTCGTGTTTGCTATAACAAACACTCGGATTCAACGAGATTTTAGGTCAGGCCCGGCGACCTCGTTGAATCCGAGTTCCACTGTATAACACTCTGTGCAACTGATTTCCGAAAAATTGTCCCAAGAATGCGACCAAAAAATATATATTTAATTTAAATAACGAGTGAAGACGCAAAAGCCAGCAGACAGTATTTTTATACAATACGTATACATATCTAATTTACAATTTACATTCCAATTGAAGGCCAGGCCCGACGACTTTGTTGGATCCGAGTTCCACTGTATACGTGTGTCTGGTGCACAGCTGGGAAAGGTAGTCATAACTTTTAACCATTAGCTATGGTTTAGTTATTTGGTTTGTACTGTTGTTGTTTTTTTAGGGTGGCAGTTTTCTTTTTACTTTTTTAGTGGCACAACTTTATCAACCCTGTAGATCTAGTGAATGCTTTGAAATGGGACATTTCAGATTCATCCAGATTTGAGAGAGCTGGCTGAAACAATGACAAGACTAAGTCTTCTACCTCCAGATTTTGAAGGCAAACACGCTGTAAAAAAATGGTAAAAAAATTATTTCGATTGTTAGTAAATCCCCCCCCCCCCCCCCCCCCCCCCCTTTAAATTTCTTCATATGTTTCTATTTTCTTTAATTACCGTACTACTGAAAGATATCATGGCCATAACTAAAGGTGGTATCTAATTATCTGTCAAAGTTACAATTTTATCAAATTAAAACTTAAATCAATACATTCAACACTGATATAAGGGATAGTCAACACGATTTTTTGCCCTTCGCGTTTTAAAGCCTTGTTTATTCATTACTTTACTTTTAATTTTCACCTGAAAACAAAGCGATTCTTTTTTTAGTTCCACCATTGATGATTGTATGCTAGTGAATGAAATTGAATGCATCAGTAAATTAATTTTGCAGATAGGCCTACATGTACCATTGAATGAGTGAGTGGACTGTCATTGTGGTCAACATACTTGGTATCTTAATCTGACCGTGAAGCTTCTCACCTTCAAGGTTTTGTAGCTCATCGTTCTCTTCTGTGATAAGAAGAAGGAAAAAGAAAGAATGGTGTGCATGTTCAAAGAACGTAAACACGGTTTATGAGGAATTCAACTGGAAAGACCATTTTTGACGAAGCTCATTTTGTAGCTGCTGATCTATTTGAGATGGGATCATAGGCGGCTATGATCTTCCCATCTTGCGTGCTCCACTCCACTTCGACAAAACATGTTATTAGCCTACAGCAAGTCAGATTGATGGAAATATCATAGCCAGTTGCCTTGTGGCTGTGATATATCGGTTCGGCGCTTCGCTTTTGTACATGTACGTAGGAGGTCCAAATTCGATTTCCAAGTGGGGAGGAATTTTGCTTGGAGTATCCAGGTCTTTTATGCTTGGATATTGTATCTCTCTAAGCCCGTGTTGGCCTTAATAACAGAGTCAGAAGTCCGCCACATAAATGATGTAAATTACACCTAAGCCTATTTTAAAAAGGAGGAAATAGCTTATCGTTCTCTATCCTTTTCTGATCACCTTCCGGGAAGCTTTTAAAATTGTAAAGTGAGATAAATTAAGCTTTCAGACCAAGACTTAATGGAAATTTAATCGATATCTTTAAAATGTATGTTTTGATTGTAATTAAACAATCTCAGGAGCTTCTGATTCTGTACAGGACTGAAGTTTCCTGTTTAGTTCATAATTCATATTTTGTGGTGGTACCTGTAACTATATTTTGTTAAATACTCAATGTCAATTTGTCATAAGGCAAAGCTTAAGTCATTTCAACATTTACTTTAGGTTGGACACATTGGGGGACATGCAAGCTTCAGAAGAACTGGACGACGGGCAAGTAAGACAGATGCTGTTTGATCTTGAATCTGCCTACAACAGTTTTAATAGAATTCTTCACGACCATTAAAAATGTAATCGTGTTCATAAAAATGACTAGATAAGATTTCTGTTTGCATTTTTTAATAGGGAAGGTGGGAATTAGAATCTGAGCCTGGTTTGAAAGTTCTGCAAATACAGTAATGGTAAGCTACCACCTCAGAGTATTCAGGTATAAGGGCTGTTTTGATTTGTGTGGTAAGATCAAGTTGGCAGCCCTGATGCAATTAGGTTTAGAAAGTTGCAAGCTAAGTGAATCAAGTAGATAGAAAGGCTATAGGGACAGGCTAAGAAAAAAAATTGACACAGAAAAAAAAGAGAGAGAAAGGGTTATTTAAATTTATGTGTTGGTGTTTGCTTGAAAAATTGTGTATGTGATATTTAAGTAACTGGTTTGTGTTTAATGACCAAAGATATTGCTTTGTTTGAATAAGAGAGAAAAGTTCGTACATGTATGTGTGTTTGAGTATGATTTTCACACAAGTAATTATGTTGATTGAAAATGTTTAGGAACCTGTTAAGTCCTCTAGAAAATAGGAAAATTGTCCTTTCGTTTTTTTAGTTGTTTTATGTCTTTCCTTTCGAAGGAATCATTTCATATTATAGTATTATTCATAAATGGGTATTCGAAGACCAAAAAAATTCAAGCTGTGCACTGGTAAAATAATTCTAATGATGACGTCAGTTTTTTCTCTTTTCATAAATTGTTTGCAGTCTCTAAGTATAAGTGTAGTAAATTTGACACCAAAAAATGTAAGTATACTTTTGGTGGGGTACTTGTTTATACCGGAACCTCCCGAAAACAACCAAAACTTCCCGAAACCACCCAAAATTTCCCGTAACCATCCGAAACCTCTTCAAAATTTCTATGATATGATGTTATTTGCTTTGCTATCTATGGATAGATAGTGGATAAAATATCTGGGGATAAAATATAGATCTGTAATACAATATTATCGTATTTGGATACTTCTTTTTTTAGTAAGTGTTTTACTGCACTTGCAACACGATAGGGTCAAATAAGCATCAAACACAAAAAAGAGGGAGGGGAGATATGGACGATAGATGTTTGATATGAAAGAAGGAGCAAACCACACCAGAGCACCCACCAACCACCCACTTGGATACTTCTTGATCCTGAATAAATTATTTAAACTAAAAAAACACACAATACAATAGCATTATAAGAGACAATATTTCACCTGGTTTGACTCGTTTGTTTTTATTTCAAACCTTTTTTATTTGGCATGGGGAAAAGTACGTATCTGAAAATTGTCTTGGAGAATTTTTGGTACATGTATATGCTTTAGTTTTCATTCTACGGCAATTAAAAAATCGGCTTATTGCATAACTGAAAAAAGGGAAAAAATCACTTTCTGACGCCATTTATCAAAAGGTACAAGTTCAATCAAAAATTCCCCAAGACAGTTTCTAGAACTAGGTGCCGTTAACATTCTGTGAAAGTTACATTAAAATCGAATAAAATACAGTAAGAAAATGGGATAAAGTGTGTGAAAATAGCATTTTAAGAAAACGGCGATAAAGGTCAGAAAAGGCCTAAATAGTTCTCTTTCCAATTAGAAACTGTAAAAACATATTTCAAACTCGAACATGGCAAGTTCTTGATAATATTAACACGGTAGAAATAGAATGAATGTTTCCTACTAAAACTGAAACATATAAGCTGTGTAAAACATGCCTTTTGAGAAAAAAAGTGGCAATTATTTTCTTTTTTAAATTCTCTACCCTCAGCTCTAAAAATAAAATCCCTTCAAACACCACTTTAGGGTATAGAAACGCTTACATAGGTTTCTGGACATTTGTCCAGGAAATATCCAGGAAATATACTCATTTCCAAAAGAAACTTGACATAAAGAATAGTGTTAAATAAAAAATAAACCATTGCAGACACGGGGACAACCTTTTACACATAAAAAGAAGAAGCATTTCAGAATTTCAAAACCTGTATTTTAAAGCACATAATACACACCTGGTGCTTCAAGCACCTCCTGAATTGATAAGGTCCAAATTCAAAAAATCAGAAAATGTGCATTTTTCCACCAAGAAACTTTACATTGACCTAGTAATCTCAAATTATTGTTTTCGAAACGTCTTATAGCAAAATACACTGGTACTAGTTAAATCTAAAGCATTTCAAGTTATGTCTGAAAGTTCGGCAGGATTAATAACGTGTGTGACCGCCGCCTGCTGCAGTGACGGCGCGGCATCTCATCTGCGCCTCGTAGAGTTGACGATGTTGGAAATTTGATGTTGTGGGATAGCGTTCCAAGCGTTGGTAGGCTTTGAATCAACTGAGCGTCGTTCTGAGGAGCGGCTTCATCTCTTGGATTTGAGGCCCGAGAATATCCCACATATGTTCAATTGGGTTCATGTCGGGTGATACTGCTGGCCAGGGATGAATGAAACCGAATTGTTTGTTGTGCAAGGTAAGCTTGTGTTACCCTGGCAAGATGGGCTCGAGCGTTGTCCTGTTGTAAGGTGTAGCCTCGATGGTTCTGTACCAACAGTGCCACATGTGGCTACAAGATGGTGGCTACGTAGTTGGCACTATTCTATGCTGTCGGAGCATGTACCAATGCCGTCCTGTGGTCTGTTGTGATTCCGCCCCAGACCATCACCTACTCATATCCCCGGTTAGGGATTTCATGTACCCACTGGTCAGCAAAGCTTTAATTTCGACGGCGATATTTCCGGCACTCGACCATCGTAGCGACATAGGACAAATCTAGACTCATCCATGAAAAGGACCTGAGACGAATAACTGTCTGTGTGCTCACTGGTTGGTGTTGCCGGAGGGTTCTGGCTGTATGCGAAGCAGACTGGAACTTGTCGTTCTGGTGGGTGGTGTATACTGATCCTGTGCCGGGTCTCTTGTACTTTCTGTGTTCATGTACCCGGTCTGCAGACTGTAGTTGGTTTCCTTGCTACAGTTAAAAATCCTTGCCACATCCGCCACGGGAACGCCTGCTTCGAGATGCCCTACAGCGCGCCCCCGCTCGTCTGCACTGAGACGCGGCATGGTTGAAAGTCGACATTTTTCTTGATTTCTGAAGCTCTCAGTTCAAATGCAAACGATGTTTTCATAAACTTTTTCCACACCTTTTGTAGGTTTTGAAATAACCTACACATTGATAGCAAAGACAACACAGAAAACTCATGCTTAATAGAATAAAAATTTAAATGAAATCATACTAAACACACATAATTGAGCGAACTCATTTAGTTGTTCTGTCAAAATTGATTCAGAAGATAGTAAAACCAACACACAGCACTGTTCATAAATATCGTCATTATCCGTTTTGATTTAATAGTATTATGTTTAAAGAAAATGTGTCAAGTTTTTTTTTTTGGAAAAGAGTATATGTTATATAATAAGTGATAACCCAAGTTTTAATAGTTTCACCCAAAAACATTTTAGGGGTCACTTCATGGTCACTTCTCCTTAGAATACTTCACAACTTGTACAAGATAACAGTAATTAAATACCGCATCATTACATTATGTGAAAAATCTGTACTTGAATACTACTACATGTATAGAATAACAGTAATTAAAATTCTGAGAAGTACAGGCTATTAATTGCAACCTGAGCTGTCGCTCATCAGTTAAAACAAAATAAAGAATGAAGTTGAACAAAGATTTGACAAACTATCATTTTCTCTTATAATATAAAAAGAACCAAGAACCAGCCGACAGAATATTTTATCCACAGAGCGATAGATAGCATACCAATTAATAACATCATATCATAGAAATTTTGAGGGGGCTTCGGGAGGTTTTGGGTGGTTTTTGCGTGGTTTCGGGTGGTTTTGGGAGGTTTCGGTTGTTTTCGGGAGGTTCCGGTATAATTCAAACAAGAACCGCTTTTATTTTGGTGTAGCAGTAAGGCGCATCGCAGTCGCACGCAGAAGATTTATTATTCATTATTATAGTAGAGGGTTTTACGGCACTCGCAACAGCATAAGGTCATATGAGCGCCAAGGGGTGGGTGTCAACAGAGAAGTCTTTACAGGGAATCAGACCCACTCTGCCCACCTCTCTAGCTTCAACAGCACAAGGTCTGCTTCAACTGTCAAGGCTCCCCAGAATTAGCTGGTCACAAGAGAGTGACAAACACACAAAAGAAGTAGAGGAAAATGACAATAGTAAGGATTAGGAAAGAAAAAGCAGCAGTTCCCTGTTGTAGATCAGGCACAGTTATAAGCGTGACATGAATCAGCCCATTTTCTACTGCACTTGAGCGAGAAATGTCCCCTCTTTGGGAATGGCCAAAAGACACTACAGTCAGTGGCACTGCCCCGGGGGGTGCACGCAGAAGAGCCGAGTAAAAAATCAATGTTTGGAGAATTTCTGTCGAGTAGCCTACATTTATCTCGTCTTTCTGCTGGGTCATTGTATCGTTAAAAAAAGGGGTAGAACATTTTGCAGAACGGGGATGGTAAAGATTTCCCCCCTTTTTGTGGAATTTGAATCTGGGGAGAGTCGGGATACTTGAAAAAAATGGGAGATAACAATATTTGCAGAAATATACATAGCATGAGTCGTAAAGACCCAAAAGTTCCATATACAGTGACTACGGTTGAGTTGATGCTGTCAGGGAGTAAAAAAAAAAAAAAGAATATCTCATCCGAAGTTCCACTTAACCATTGGGACCTGTCAAGAAGAAAAAGTGCTGGGATCCGAGAAAAAATAAACTTAACTAAAGAACAAATTCCACAAAAGCGAAATCAACTGCATGAGTGAGAACCAGAGGAGCTCCTGATGCCATACTCATGACATTTGCTTATTTTTAAACATATATCTTTGAAACGTATGATTCGTCTTTGTTTTTTTGTTTTTGTTTTTTGTTTTTCGGGGGGGGGGGGTGTTGCTGTTGTTCTTCATTTAACTGTTAATGTTGTGGTTCACCACATAATAGAATGTTAATGTAAAGTTCATAAATCTAATTGTTCTTCTATCTCAGTGCCTGAGCTTACATATCTTATAGGCGGGCTCTCGTGGCCTAGAGGTTAAAGTGTTTACCTCTCATTCAAAGGTCCCGGGTTCGAATCCGGCGGAAAAAATTTCTTCTCTAAAATGTTCTCATTTTACTTCATTTCCTTCTCTCTTGCAATATTCTTTCGTCTGCTTTCGTCTCTACTTTCTGCCCCCACCCCCTCACCTCCTTTGCCCCCTCCTCTGGGCTCCTGACTCTTTCTGCAGCCTTTCTAGTGCTACTCCTTGGCTCCTTCTCACTGCCCTCTTTCAGCCACACCCCTGATCTTCTGGTAGGAAAGATGTACACCTGGCCTTCTCGGACATGGGCGAAAAATCTCGGAGGTCCCGTATGCACGTTAAAGGTCCCAACTTAGTGGTCCAAAATCGATAAGAGTAGGCTTCGGCCGCCACTCGGGCAAAATTCAAAATTTCCTACTAGCTGAAAATGCTTAGTGTGTCTGCGCGCTCATATTATGCTGTTGCGAGCGCCGTAAAACGCTTACCAAAAAAATATATACCATATTTACATACAGTCAAGCCCTGCTATACCGCCTACCTAAGCGGTACAACGGGGCTGGTGTATAACGTGATAGCACAGTTTATGAACTTAAATTGTGTTAGAGACAGAGACATAATATTGTGTAAAGCTTGCGAAATCTAGATGATAGATCTGTCTTGCACGATTGCCATGCGCACAGGAATAACGATCTAGATCTAATTTATAAAAAAAATCTAGTTTAGATCTAGATTCTAGATCTAGAATCTAGATTAGATCTAAACCTAGTGGTGGCTTGGTGGGCGAATGACCGAAGAGCGACTCTTGACTATTCGCCTACTGTGAGTTGGCAAAGACACACTAGGCCTATCATGCAATATGATTCATAGGTCTCCTATCATATCAATAGTAGGCCTACTTGCTTCTGTAGGCCTAGAGTCTACCTGTTTCAATGGCTTCTCTTTCGGTGCACGGTTTCGGCACTCCTGTACAATTGTGGTCCCGTTTGTTTACATGACAGTCATTGTGGGAGTGAACC